GACCCTGCACTGAGATTTTTGTGAAACTTTGCCTATTGATTGTTTATATTACAGGAACTTAAATTTTGAAATAAAAATGAGGGGTCCCCATGTTTGTTTGGCAACAACAGCACCTTGTTTATACCCAATAAATCCTTATAATAGAACCATGATTGTAGTCACGATTGCTTGCTAAATTCACGTTTCCGACGATTGTTTTTTCTTCTACACTGAGAATTGGTCCATACTCATTTTACACAGAGAAATTTATTACTCAATGCAAAACAGCAGAAAAAAATGATAGGTCACCATACTCGTTTGCGAGAAAAATCCGCGTAAAGAAAAATCCGCCATTTTTTAATGCGCGCGCGCTAATCCCGCGTGAAATTATGCGCAGTAGGGATGCGCAATGCAATACTGGGGAATGACCTTAAAGGGATCTCGGCTCTGTGAAGAAAAATTTTATTTGTGAAAGTAGACTTTTTTGAATTTTTCTAACGGCTGTAAACAATTACACTTGCAATGGCGTAGACGTTTAATGTAAACACCTCCTGATATCAGTTAAGTAAAGTGGCAGCGGGTAAGAGTGAGAAATTATGTTTCTATCTTACATCTCAACACAATGGATTCCTTAAGCTTCTACATAATTTTTATAGCAAACTGCACTTCAAATTTTACCGTGCGGTTGTAAGCTTCCTGAAGCTTCTTGATGTACAGTGCATTTAGCGTCCTATTCAGTGCCATTGCCCGTGTCCTTAGGTGCTTATTCTGGAAGCGGGGGAACGTAGAAGTCTGGAGGTTGGAGTGGCAAGAAAGGATTACAAATTTCACTTCATTCGAGGCCGAGGGTGGCAAAACGATTGTGTTGGATATCACATCAAAGGCGACATTCTTGACGCTGACAGAGCAGACTCCATTATAGAAATTGAAGGTCTAGTAGACATTTTGCTCAAATATATTAAAAGTTACGACTTCTCGTTTTATGATAAAACTTAACATCTGTGATTAAACAACAAACTTGGTAGAAATTTTATGTTGTTTCGACGAAGAGCAAATTCGTGATTCCAGTTTACTTTAACCCACACTCTGTGTGATTTATTTCAGATGCCATGGCTGAACGAGGCGATTTGATTGGCTGTACCGTCTTATTTGAAATAGCAGAAAACGGAGAAGTTCCCATCTCGTTTACTTTGAATGGGAAACCCATTACACAAGCCAGAGTTTCAATAAGGATTTTCCAGGAGGACTCACTGTTGTTTCCATTTGTTAGCATGGGGCACGAAGGAGTTGCTGTGTCGGCCAAAGTTAGTAACATCTTTTTTTTCCCAGCCCAAATTATCACACTTCGTATGACATCATGATGACATATTTTCCACCAAACTCAGCGACCTCGATTCCAGACTGTCTCTCTTCTTTGCCTCCATTGTCGTTGACAAGGGAGTCAACGGAAAGAGAAAGCCTGATATCGAGGTTGCAAACTCAACGCGCCAGCAAACGGCTTTCCTCAGGATATGGAAGAACGACTGAGAACCACAGATACGGCAGAAACTTGTTTAGCACTGGTCAAGATTTAAACTGTCACCTCAGCATTGACGCGCGTTTTAACTGATAACTGATATGAAATCTGAAATATTTACTGATACGTCCTAATAGTAGTGAAATTTACCGAACATTTAACCGGTGACTGAGATTCCGGGACTGCTATACAGACTCTCCTGTAAGATACTTTTTCATTCCCATATTAAAGAACCTTTTGCTACATTATTAGATGCGGTCCCGAGACAATGCCGACTGGGTTCCATCGCCAGTGTCGACATATATCATGCCATCCAAAAATTCCACGGAGAAAGCATCAAAAAAGGAATACGACAACACAGACGTCTATCACAAGCTGGACTATGCAGGTGCTAGGTTCAGACGTGCGCGGGATGATATGCTGGACAGCTTGAGGGCAAACTTCAGGAGATTCGAGGATTTCTTTAACGACTGGAATAAAGAATGCTTGCAGATGAGTGGTTCGTTTCTTCAGAATAAAGTTCCAGAGGACGGAACTAAAAAAGCCGCCCTTGGAAAGAAGATAAATGAAGCTATAGAAGGCCTTAAAGAAATAGAAGAGCTAGGGAAAAAGGTCAACCACAAGTTTGGTACAGTTCTGAATGAGTTGACAAAAAGACAAGGAAGCAACCACTAACATAATTATACATTAACCCATTCTTGGTTTTTCTTCTAACCTCTTAGGCCCTCAATGTCTGTTTGCATGTGTAAATCGAAATGGGCAAATCTGCTTAATAGTGCTTAGTTCAAACAAGAGATCATCGTCTCTTGGTTCAACATCAGCGAACAAAATTGCGCAACTTTTCGGCGTTGTTTTGATAAGCGACTTTTGGTTACTGGTTTACTATTACGTTGGGGAAAGCAATTGAGCCACATTTTTTTGGCCTACGGAACGAAAAGTCTTTTCACGATTCGCCATCTTGCATTTAACAATTAATATTTACTCGAGTGCCTGAGAGATAGCTGACGAGGAACACACGCAGATCAAAATTGGCACACGGCATAAAAGGTAAAAAGACACAATGAAACACACTTTTTGTGATCGCCATTTGTATTCTAACAGTCACTTCTGTGCATTTGAAAGCGTCACGTCTGTTTCGCACTACCTATACTTGATACTTAACTAATTAATTAGTTAATTAATTATATTATACTACATTTCTTACTGATAATTGCCTACTATTAATTACAAACTATTTACAGAGTCGGGCAGATTTTGGCGAGAGCTGGGTCAGTAGATCCATGAATACTCACTCCATCCTGCTAATGGTTAAGTTAATTCAACAAACATAATTCTGTACGTGTTCATGTTGGCTAAATTTGACTTCAGAATATAAATAAAAAATCGGGAGGGGACTCGAAAAAATCCTCCTCAGCTGTTTTTTTCTATAGTCATATTTTGACACATTTGCGACAAGCATCAGCTTCTCTTTGGTTGCCAGTTAATGAAGTTACAGTCCTTTATTCTTGTTTGGTTAGAAGAAAAAGATTCACAAGTAACACCCAATTGAGTGTTTTCACATGACGTAACAGCAACCATATTGGTGTCCCAAAATGTTGAAACCCAAACGGCGGCCATGTTGGTGTCCCAAACTAATCCTGTGGGAGGTGAACTCTTGCATGGCTGCTGCAAAAGTGTAGCAGTTCTCGAAAGCTTGTAATTCCTTACTTGTTAGCGGCTATTGTTTTGAGCCTAGTATGGGCATTGTTTCTGTTGTTTGTTCTATTGTCCTCTCAAAGGGTATCAAGCCATTCACGCGAGACCTTACGAGAGCTGCTACCCAACTAGGCTACGAGTAGTCCCTCTTTCGCTTTGTCCGCCGAGCGAGACCGCAAATAAACCGCGAGGAAAAAATGGCCGCGTGAAATCCTGGGGGCGAGACGCACGTACTTCTGGCCCCCAGGATTTCGCGCGGCCATTTTTTTTCTCGTGGTTTTCTTTCGTGTCACGCACGACGGACTAAGCAAAAGAGGGACTACTCGTAGTCTTCTAGCCGACCTGGCTGCTGACCACGTCAGTGAAAACGCTCTTTTGTGGTTCTGAGTATGAATACAGTCATGGTGATTCTGAATTAGGCGAGTCCAAGCTGTGTGCACGTGATTGTCTCTGCTCCAGTTGACGACACACCCACATGGATATCATGTCAATATTACCATCATCATTTGTCGCGATGAAAGGATGAGTCTATACGGTGGAAAAAGAAAAATTATACGCTGAGTAGGAGAATGCAGTGTAGATGAACGAACAACACAGGAGCTTGCATCTGTAATTGTGAGATTGTCAAAAACTGTCACTTACCAAAACTGCTTCTGGAGTCAGTCTTACTAAAGGGTTTTTCTGCATACTATCAAGATAATATAAAATTCGATCAGTCAGTCCGTCCGTCCTTCGGTCCGTCAACAGCTCACTGAAAGCTAAGCTCACAGAATTCTCTTTAATTCTCTTTAAACGCTATTACTAATAACCTTTCGTCAAAGATCAACGTAATAAACCTTCCTTTAAAAAACAACAGAAATAATAATAAAACAGAAAAGAACTGAGATTGAATAATCCACAGCCGGTAAATAAGAAACGCCCAGCAAGGCAGGAAATAAACACGTATCACTGGCCACCTCTGTTAAATATGGAGTTCTCAGTTTTAGTCTTCTTTTTAACAAGCGTAAAGTATAGAACTGGAGTAGAGAAATGGCCAAAAGATTCGCTATTTGATGTCAAATCTCCCCCTCACCGCAGATTCACTGATAGGTGCAGTGTGTTTCCTCGCAGCCAGACAGGGTTTTAACTCCTTGAAATCTCGCTAATATTCTTAGGTACATAATTAAAAGTAAACTTTTAGCAGGTTTATGTAATAATGTGGAACAACAACCTTACCATTGAGATACGAAATTCGCAAACGCTGGTGAGAATTTATCCTCGGGTAAACATGGCGGATTCTTGAAAAAAATAGACAAGCGAACAATCAAACCCTGCCTTGTTTAGGGCTAGGACAAACAGTACACGTCTCCCATACAAACCTGTAAAATTCTCATAGCTACTTCTTGGCTCTTTATAACGACACGACTTTTAAACTTGGTCATTTCACAACGTTCAAGGTGATCTTTTCTGAGGTGTCATTGGATTTTCATTACCTGTTCTACATTAAAATCTTAAAATATCGTGGCAAAGGTCTTTATTAATTAGTAGTACGTGAATCTTAAAAGATCAAGTTACTACGATTTGCTTACCTCATGTACGATGCACTGAAGTAGCGCTATGGGCTAACAAAGGAAAGCAAAATTTTCATGGTTAATCTTTATGTTCGGCACAGGATCTACGTCGCCACGACGACCTTTTCTGCTTGACGTACAGTTGCTTTCAAATTCAAAATTATAGTGTTCTAAGGTATTCAAACACCAAACAATTAAGTTAAACCGAAGCTGAAGAAAGATTGTAGTGCGACAGACCATAGGTTCAGAAGACTGTTTAAGTAGGGCAGACGTAAAACAAAACAAAAAACTACGTATGAGGGATAGCTCCTTTACATACGGACGACGAAATGAGCAAAAAATCTAGTTGTTTCCAGAACATACAGGGAAAATGAAATGTCTTAACGATGCCAACAGCCATAATGAACCATTGCAAAAATGAAACAGCTTATGGCAACCTATAAGACCATCCTTAAAAACTAACTGATTCTACTAACAATATTGTTCAGAATTTAATTACCAGAAACGTTTCAGCACCTCCATGACTTTCCTGTAAAATAACATGGGTATTTCAGTACATTATTAACAAAGCTATCCACCCCTTTTAACTTACCAATGATTTCTGACGGTGACGAAAAGACAATAATATCACAAGTGGCACATTTGTGCTCGCCTATCGGACGGGACCCTCCCTGAGGTCGCTCTAGACGCACCGAGTATATAATAGAGAGTTTATTTGACTAAGAAGGATAGGACGGGAATGACAACGGAAAATTTTTGAATCTCTCCAATTGGATGAGATTGACACGCCAAGAGAGCAGACTAAAAACCAATCGTCTCACCAACTGTTTTTTGGGATCAATTAAGGGCGTCATCAGGTTAATTAAACCCTAAATGGACATTCGTATAACTAAGAAACATAGTGAAAACATCTCACCGTTGGGTAAGGAAATCTCCCCAGAGCCATCTGTGGTATATAAAAAAAAATTAGATCATCAAAACGGTAGCGCTTATAATGATGATACAAGACTAGAAAAATTCAACACTTTACGTATCAAAGAAACAGACTTCAAGTACTATTTTTTTTACAGTTCAGAAGACATTTCCACGCCAAAATAATTAACATCCTTGCAATTCTCCTGACTTCTGCACAACTGTTCTTTAATAACCATTCAAAATGCAGGACTGGTATAAATTTTTAAAAAGTTGAAACTTCAATCAGTGCACGCAATATTGACAATGGAAAGATGAATATAACTGGTTTGAGTGGCCGTATAAACGGGATATAATGGGAGAGGATTATACAGGTTGGGATTTCAAAATGTGGCCGTTGGCCGCATAAACGGGGTTTTATTATAAGAAACTGTAAGGGCATTTCACCGGGACAAAAAAGACTGGCCGTAATAACAAGCTGACCGTATTAACGAGGTGACCGTAAAGTGGGGTTCCACTGTACATGTATTGAAAGTAATGCTCCCAAAATATATACCATTCTGTTAAGGTGCTTACAGTAAAATAACTTTACTAGTTAATATCAAGTCCATGAAAGAGACTTGTCCACTATAGAACCGATAACAGACTTGTTACCACTTGCTTAACTACTGGTGTTAATAGATTGCTTGCAGTGTTAGAGTTTTGGTCAAGTTTTGATCATTTTGTTTTCAGGTCCTTTCTTATTCGCAATGTCGCCATTATAAGTGTGAAAATTTTTTTTTTCTGTCACCTCTAAAAGAGAGACTCCCAGACTCCACAGTTCTGATCGAATGCTGTATTCATCTCCTAGTATGCGCTCAGGCTGGAAGAAAACGAAACAAGAGAGAACAACAGTAAAAAGTTGATGANTAAGGCCTTGCTCACCTCTATGCATTATTTTTAATTCCCACAAATAAAGAAGTCCTTTGACTACCTGTAAAGACAGAAACATTGTTCACCACGACTACAGTTCTAGAGTAATTATTCAAAGGAACAGACAGGGTGCTATTTGTTAAGTTTAAATGCCTTTCCTTTGCCTGTTTCATATGTGGCTGACACCTTTAGAGGGAATGAATGAAGTGCATACATGTACGTAAGTTTCTCAAAGATGCGACACCCCTGCACTGATCAATAAACAAAATGTAAACATTCTCTATTGCCAAGCTTGCTAGTGGTTATTTGGAATGTAGCAGAAGGAACAAAGGAAGAAAGAGTACTGACAACAGTTTAATGACGATTGACCTTGCTCTTCATCCAACAATTCCTTCATGTCTTTGCTACACATCAATGGAAACATTAGACAATTAAACTTCTGAAATTTGCAATAATATATCAATAAGGAACGGTCTGCTAATGTTGAACACTTACTGAAACTGCAATTCTGCCTAAAACTGGTTCTGGTATGCAGCCAAACATGTCTAGGGAACCTCCTAAGCAGAGATAAAATGGTCACATCAGAAATTCTCTTTTTCATTCCTAGTAAATATGTAACCAGTGAACTTAGGTTAGTAGAAAATTGCTAAGTGCAACATATTGAATTAATGGGAGTAGTGAATAGCCTGTAATGGACTGACATTCACATTCAGTGGAATAAACAGTACATAAACAGTACACATATAATCTTTTAAAAAGACACTAACGAACTTTCAACTTGATAGTGCAAGGCTGGGCAGAATGATGATCCACTTAGCTCAAAGAGACAATTAACTACTAGTCTGGATTAAATACATATTATTTTAATATCAAAGTTAAAATCAACGCGTGATATGAAGAGCCAGTTAGTGTCAATATTATTTTACTTCAAGTTACTACAGAGCTGAAACCGTTTAAACATACTACAGCTACATGTATCATAGCTGCCTATGATCATTAGTCACTTAGTCAGACCATGAAAGAAAAACAAACAGTGACGATAGACAATAATAACTTAATAATGAAATAATTATTGATAACTGCACTGTCTATGAAGTAATTGAATTCTTACCATCCATATATTCTGTACAAATTGATATTCTAAGTAAAGATTGAAAAGAAAACATGCAATTTGTTGTTAATAAAAATCATTTATAAATTTAATTAACCTCTGTCAGTCCTCAGTCAGTACAGTTTTGAACAAACAGACAGAATGGCAGTCTGCTAAGTTTGGTACTTGCTTCCATAGACAGTGTCAACAGTACACTGTACTACATGAAAATCAACTTAATATTTATTTTTCTCTGAACATGAAACTTGAAGTACCCATTAATTTTGGTAGACACTGTGTGTTAATAATGTGTTGTACAAGTCTTGTACAAGTCTTGCTCAAGTCATCAGAAAACAGTTCAACTGCTAAGCGACAGCAAAAACAAATAAAAACAAACAAACAAACAAAA